CTGCTGCGTGGCTTCCGTAGCGGTTGAAGCTATAGGAGATAAACGTCTTTATTGTAAAAGGAGCTGTTGATTGCAGCTCTGGCAGCATCTAGGTTTGAGTTCCTCTTCCTGCTGCAGGATAGGAAAAGCTAGGCTGCTAGCCTCTGCGGGAGTTCAGGGAGCCCTTTTCTTATGTGTACTTTCAAGCTGTTAGGCTTTTAATATGTAAAGCCACCTGTTAATTCTCAGAACTTCAGACCTATGTGCAAATAGTAACACTTCATACATCTTTTCATACCATTCTAAAGGAATTTTAGCGTTTAGAAAAATGCAAATATTCATGCAGTAGAATAACTTTTTTGTGTGTATGTCTCTGCAAAGTGTATCGAAAATGTCTCCAGGCAGGACTGTCCGATATGTTTGGAGGTGAGCTGCTGCTTTTTATTTTTTGGATTTGTGTGTGGCTGTATGTTTGATTGTCTGTGAATTAATTTTCTTGTCTTTTGTCTGATACTTGCCTCGAAACAGGATATTCACACATCTCGAGTTGGAGCTCATGTTCTGCCCTGTGGTCACCTTCTTCACAGGTAAAGCATTGCAGATACTCCAGAAAAGGGAATAGCCGCTGCCTTGTGTGTGGCATTTATTCAGTGACGCTACAGGCCTGGTTAGTCTGCGTCGGCTACTTAGAGCTGGTTTCTAAGGGACCCACACGGTAGGGGATAGTCTCTGTTTCATCAGGAAATACTTTCTTTGGAAAGGTTGTTTTCTTTCCGTGGTAAACTTTGTCCTTGTCGGAGGGACCTGTGTGCTGTTCATTCTAAATTTTCCCATGATGCATTTCCTTCTGTTACTACTTAAATTTCAAGAATCTTGTAGTGAAGTCCTTCCTTGGTGCAGGAAGCAGTTGCACCATGCTTTTAGGAGGCTGGTGGCAGCTCATCAGGTAAGTTTTAGGTTCTTCCTTTAAGACAGCCCCCTAAGACAGTGAAGTGCTCTGTTGCACCACAAAAACTGCCGGCTCTAGCGGGATTTTAAAGTGATGTGATATATAGCGTTGGGTGCCTTTGGAGGAATAATTCCCATGTTTCCTTTCCATTTTTCTGCTTCTGTCTTGAGTTACAGATGCAGCTTTTTGTTACTCTGTTGGCTCTCTTGTTGTTGGTCCCCCCGTTGTCTCTGTGCGCTAAGTGAACGGCCTCTGTGTTTGACGTAGGTCTCTCCAGACCGAATCTTCCTTGAACTCCTGTCCATCTGAAACTTACCTTCTGATGCAGCACACTCCATTTTTTTCAGCAAACTTGAACCACACAATCCTTGCCATAGTGTGGGCTCTCTTCCCTCGTCTTAGGTTAGAAGACGTTAGAATGGAATCAAATGTGCTTTGTGTCCGGATTTTTGCTCAAGTACCTGGTGATTTTGCTTGGAAGTTTTCTTCTTACCTGGACTCGGGATATTTTTTAACTTCTGGTTTGGGGGTAGCCGTGTGCCTTTTCCCTTTGTTACCAAATGTGTTACCAGTCAGTAATTGCATTCTTCTTACGCAACTTCTCATTGTGTTTTCTTCTCAGAACGTGTTACGAGGACATGCTAAAGGAGTAAGTATTTTTAAACACCTCTTAACACCGTAGTAGTCCAAACAGGTTACTGGCAGAAGCCAAGATCACAATGCCAATCCTGTACCAAATAACGTAAAGCCCACTCCTAAAGAGATAAGGGGCTTTTAATTTCCAGTTCTGTTTGCAAGAACTTCCTGATGCGTGATGTTTCTCTTTGACTGGTATGGTAATGAAACTTGTCCTTTTGGGTGGACTTGCTTCGTGGCCGCGTTCCATCTTCTGATTCAGACTTTTTTTTTTTTGTCCTTTCTGCCAGAGGTTACAGGTGTCCTTTGTGCATGCACTCGGCTTTAGATATGACGAGATACTGGCGTCAGCTGGATGACGAAGTAGCGCAGACTCCTATGCCCACAGAGTATCAGAACATGATGGTGGAGGTAAGAGATTAGACTTTTAGCGATGTCTCTGCTCTCGGCCGATCTGTGGCTTTGTGTTGCTGGCAGTAGAGGGCACTAGAAACCCGTTCTGGATCAGAATTCAACCTGACAGTTACGGAATGACAAAGAAATGTCGTGTGTGGGCTTAGAATATTCATCTCCTGGGTTTATAAACACAGCCAAAAAAAAGCACCCTCACCTGCACTCCAAAAAAAAAAAAACCCCAACCCAACCCCAAAACCATGACCTGTTAGTGCTGTAGTATCACACAGCAGAGAAGTGAAGTGGCTTGGTCTTTGGAAGAAGTGTCTTGCTTTCTCCAGTAGCGTTAGGCACCATCACAGCAAAAAGCAGGAATATTTGTTTTTTAACAGCTTGGAGCTTCATGTTCTGGACTAAACATGGTGGATTTCCTGCAAAAATACTCAGCTTTTGATCTGTGCAAGGCTAGCATGTAGAGACTTCTTTTGTTTTCTTTTGGTTTCTTTGTGTTAACTCAGGACTGTGAAACTGGTTGCTCTTTGCAGGTAACGCTGGATTAGTCATTAATGTTTCAGTTGCATCTGTTACGGTTTAGACAACCCATCCTACCAACTCTTGGAGTCAGGATACTTGGAAAAAATCTCTTTACTGCCTGTTTTGAGAAGAAGGGTCGCTTGCCTGTCTCACACAGCAGACTGACTAGTGTTGCTACCTGCTGTTAATCCGCTTTCATTTTCACTTGAGGGTTTCTCTGGTAGTTTCCTACATCAGGAGAAGCAGCCAAAGCATGTCTATCCCCGACTTACGTGAGGAGTCATCTTGCTGTACTGAAAGTAAATTCTCTGTGATGATACAGTGTGATCTGAGTAGTTACAAACAGAAAAGTTGAATCAGCCCTGCTGTCTTTAAGAGGAAGATTTTTTTTTTTCTTTGTCCCCTGATGGCAAACCAGTTCTCTGGTTGCTGGAAGCATGCTGGTAGTATATTGTTGAGTGTCCTGCTGATGCTAAAGCCTCTCTCTCTGTGTTTTCTGTGTCTGTAGATCCTTTGCAATGACTGCCATGCCCGGTCTACAGTGCAGTTCCATCTCCTAGGCATGAAGTGCAAAAACTGTGAATCGTACAACACCGCCCAAGACGGAAGATGCCGGCTCTCTGCGGAGGAGCAGCAGTGACCAAGATACACGCCGCATTTGGCTGGATGAGGAAGACTTTGCCACGGAAGAGACTATTTTAAAAAAAAAAAAAAAACAAACACAAAACCAAAAACCAACCCACGTCTCAGTAAAAATTTATTCAAAGTTGTCACGGCACCAGTGAAATGGTTACACGATTTAATTAATGCTGGCGCAAGGGAGTTGAGTTAATTATGCCCCATGCCCTAGTACCTGGGGCAGAGCGCAGCCGTCCCCTTCAGGCAATTCCCCACCAAGCAGCGCGATGCCCGGTGAAGGTTAGCTGCCAGCGAACGGCACCCTTGGGAAGAGCCGTTTACTGTGTCGGGGAAGAAACAGCCTAGAAGAGTAACTAGCAAGATGCAAAATGAGGAATGATAAGCAGCTGACCCAGCAGAAGATGTTCTGGGGCAGCTGAAGGTTGTGAAGCACAACAGGAGGTGGAGGTAGAGCTATTCTGGTTGCAGCTGTTGGCGAAAATGGGTAGCTTTGAGTGGCCTTTTTACATAAAGCTGACATCCGCAAAGTTTTATGCGAGTACCTTTTGTTCCTTTTAAATGACGTGTTTGTTCTAGGGCCTCAGAGCCATCGGCGCGGGTGGCTGGGGAGGGTGAGCTTGCAGAAATCGCATCCCTTGCCTTGATTTGTTGACAGGCCAGTGCACACGAACAGAATTCGCTTCGAAACGAGGCTGGCCTGCCCACGTACGTCCGATGAACGGCCTAAAAACCGAGTCGCGAGGCCGCCCTTCTCCCCCGGACCTGCATCCGACCCGCTTCCTCTTCACTCGGATTCCTTTGCCAGCTGCAGTCGTGTTCACACCCATTTCTTCCTCATTTCGCTTTAATTGCTTACAAAGGCCGAGGTCTGGTAGGGTTTTAGACACGTATGTAGCTTGATGTGATGGGGAAGTGCACAAAGTGAAGCACGTAGCCTTGTCTTCTCGCGGTTGACATCAGGCCCGCTAGTCGGGCTGAGCCTGAGGCGTTCGCCAACACAATGGCAGTCGCGGAGGCACTCTAGTGCGGGGACCAATTTTCTGTCTTTTGTTTTTGTTTTTTGTCTTTTTTTTAATGGTATCTGAATTCATTGCAGGGAGAGGATGGAGGAGTGCTTTTTACAAAACAAATGAACCTTCCCACCCTTCTCCAAGTGATCCTGCCCGAGGTGTTCTGCAGTCTGAATATTAAAGAATTTCGGATCGTACGAAATGAAATATATTTTAAAAGCCCATTTGCTCTTCACCGTACAACTTACTTGTTTTTTAACTTGTTCTACTGTAAAAAAAAAAAAAAAAGGAAAGAAGTCTTGTCTTAATCTTGCAGTGTCCCTTTGTGTATGGAATACGGGGCCTCGGATGTCCGTGTGACTGTAGCTTGCCTTTACTGGAGTATTTTTTTTCTCTGAAGCACTTTCCTCACTGCTATAAATAAATGTAAAATAATGTCTCTATTAAAAACAAATTATACTAGGTGTGATGTGCTCTCCTTTTACACACGGGCTTTCTGGAAATTTCTGACCCTCTTGGGGACTGGGTCTGAGCAGCAGGTTGCACCCTGTCTCTGCTCTCCCACTCCAAACCTGCCGGCCCCCACCACCCTGCTCCTTCCAAGCTAGGGTATGGGGGCCGCGGTCAGCCGTAGCTACGTGCGCGGCGGAGCTGGCGCTGCAGGTGGAGGTCGGCTTTCTGCACCCTGGGTGGCAATTTGGAGGAGTCCCATGGTGAGGAACCATGTGTGGGGCCAGGTGGGCCGCATCAGCTCTTCCAGAGCCCACAAAGAGCCCCGGGGGGTGGGAGCAGGGCATTTGGTGAGGGCGCAGATAAAGCTTCTGTCCTTGGTCGTGCTGGGGCATCTCCCTGCTTTGGGGGGTGCTGCTAGGGAAAGGTGCTTTTTGGAGATGGCGGGGGGGGCACCAAGTGGTGTTTTCCCCTCCGGTTAAAGTGAGGCAGGGTGCGGGGACTGAGTCGTCTTAACTCAAACATCGTCAAGTTGACGTGCCGAAGGAGCACGGCCTGGCTCCTTGCTGCCTCGACCTTCTTCGCCTGAGTGGGGTTTGGGGGTGAGCGGCCTGGGGAACGTCCCTCTGAGGGGATACGGCCCCACGGCAGGGGCTGGTTCGACTACGGGACTGTGCGTCCCTGCTGCCACGGGCACGGCGAGTGAGGTGTTCCCATGGTGCTGACGTCTCTGCTTGACTTCTAAGCTCCTGTTGTGGGTCAGAAGGACTCTCCTCTTGCTTGTAGGTGATGCTTTTGGTTCCTCCTTTGAAGCTGCCAGCAAGGCTCCCTGCTGCTTCGGAGCACCCTCCAAATGTGTGCTGTCACCCGGTGGCTTCACTGCCCTCCCTGGCTGGAGACCTGCCCCCAGGTAAGCCCCGAGCGCCGGTGAGGCTTGTATCAACCCGGAGGAGTTGTCGTCTCGGAGCTTGGTGCTCTTGTAGAGAGATGCCCAGCTCAGGCAATGGGTATTTTTTAAATGGGGAGGAAGCAGCAGCTCTGGGCGCGCAGGGGAATTTGGCTGCCTGCCGCCAGCAGAGCTCATCCCACCACCACCACCACCACCGCTGCTGCTGCACTGGGTCTTGCTCGGAGGCTACGGCTGCCCAAAGGCCTCCAGCCCCGTGGTGTCTGCCAGCAGCTTGGCACGGTCGTTTTGGCTGCCTGGAAGCAGAACAGAAAAGGTTCAGGTGATGCCACTTACATGTTTTCAAGGCGCACTTCTTGCTTGAGTGTTGCTGCTTGAGAAGTGACTTCCCCCAGGCTTTAAAAAGACAGGCAGGGTCAAACGAACTGTAAAATGTGACGTCAAATGATGGTTTTGAGATGAATCTGAGCAGTGTTGTTTTTCTGTGTTAGTAAAGCAGTTACAGTCCTTTTCCTCCCAAAGAGGGGGGGGGGGGGGAAATAATCCCTTGACCACGCTCTTCGTTGACGCCCAAGAAGGCCACTGCTGGCAAATGCGTTTCCGTAGGCGGTGGTGGTGGCTGGAGAAGCAGAGATGGCATGGAGATGTGCTGAGGGCATGCAGCAGAGCTAGGAAAAGGAACCAAAATGATAAATTCCTCCTCCTTTTTAAAAAGCCACTAGCAAATGGGTGCTCGGAAGAAGGTTGAGGAGCTATGACTAGTCCTCGTGGGCTCCGAAACGGGGTTGTCATAGGTGCTGTCCGTGCTCCCGGTGCGGATGGGGCTCAAGCCTGGCTTCATCGGTACCTGGTAGCTGTTGCCTTCAGGAGGTGGTGAGGTGTGGAGCACATGGAAAGTGCTGCTGGAGGCGGAGGACGTGGGCAGTAACTGGCCTTTTCTGTAGCTCTAAGGGTTTGTGCTGGTGGCTGGAGAAATGGAGAGTGTGAGGTCCACACCGACT